TACTTTGAAATTACAATCAACCCAATTGATATTTGTTTTTGTTTCATGGTTTGTATCCTCAGTAGGGGTATGTTTTTGCTCCCAGAATTTTGTTATTTTGATGTCGTAATCAGGCCAAGCATGAGAGTAACTTGTATAATCTAACCTGGAATTCACTTATTCTTACACTCTAAAAATCCTCTCAACACATTCTTCAGTTTCTGAACCCAGCAATGGAAGGAACGACAAAGTGGGCCCCCCACAGCTTGAAGCCCCAAAAACAACAGCCCAAATATCCGCCCAGCCTAAAGCCCCTGCCCTGGAGGCAGAGCTTAACCGGGCCCGGGCCCACATCAACGAGCTGGAGTCAAAACACCCGTCCTCCAAGAAGAAGCTGGAGCAGTTTCTAAGGATTGGAAAAGCACGAGGTTTTCGAATAGAAGGGTTTCTAATGGGACTGTTGTGTTTTCCCCAGATAATGAGGTTTTGCTAAGCCCACAGGATTTGTGTGGTCAGTGGAGTTCAACCGATTTCGGTGACCATAATGTGAATCGTGCAATGAAAGGGTGCATCCAGTGGACGAGAGGAGCGCAGAAGAGTAGTCTCAAAGCTCGGTTCTTGGAAGCTAGGATGAGGAGTCAGAAGGTCCTGTTGCGCCAGGTTTTGAAGCATAAGATTTAGTATGCGAAAGTTTTGAGTAATTTTCATTTACGGAACATTTGAGACGGAACTAGTGTCGTGAGAGCTCATATATCATGTTATTGAGATGGAATTTGATGTCTCTTGCAGTACAATGAGCTCGGCTAATGACACTATTTTGTAAGTTATTGTGTCATGTAACTTAATCTGCGATGTGGTAGTTCTTGATATGGCTGGAGAGATTGAAATGCGACCGTTGAATCTGTAATTTGGCTTCCGACAATGATTTATGTGAATATAAGGTCTGTGAAATTGTATTGGAAGAGATAGTTCAATAATAGCCGAGAACTGTTGTAATGTTTTTTTTTTTCCTTTTTCTCAATCAAGTTCAGCCAGAAAATGTTCTAAAACTTGTAGTATTCTACAAGAGGTTCACTGTAAATAAGAGGAGTAAAACATGAAATCATGCCCGAACACTAGGAATTATGGAAAAAATTCACACTTCTCTTCATGAGGTTGACCCTTTAATGGAGTCGTGCTATTTCTTTTAAAGAAACAGAAAAAGCAAATAAGATAAGAAAAAAGGTCTCTAACCCTTCGTTAATAATAAAACAAGCAGAAATAAGATTATGATTAGGTTTTAAAGTTGCAAAAGTTTGATTTAGCATACACAAAGTACAGTTCCAGAATCCCTTTGTGACATAAAATGGCTTCCTTAGATCCGACTTATTTAGCTACACTAAAAACCGTATGACACTATTGTGACATTGCAGCTATGCATTCAATTTCAATCCGTGCATTCAATGGCAGTGCAGCAACCTGGTACGTGGATCGAGCTGGCGCTGGTGCTGGAAAATCTGCAATCACAATGTAAACATTAGTGAAAGTTGAACATATCAGTTATCACAAGAGAATTAGGTCATTCTTTAGTTATTTATACAGCCGGCTTGTTCAAATGAGACCAGCAAGATTAATGATTTATCAAATAGCAGGCTAAAAATAATATATTATGCATTGTACGAGCCAAACGAACACATGAAGAATGCATGTAAGATGGATAATGTGCGGAATCAGAAGTCCAAACTACCAAGTTGATTTCAACTTCAAAACTCACATTTAGCATAAATTTCGTTGACTTTCTTAAAGTCTGTCAGATCAGCCAACCTGTAAAGGAGGGAAAAATATAATGTTACCTTTTGAAAGTAAACAACCGTTTTTTCGTTTTGACACAATCAAATAACCACAATGTGTGTGCATGACTTGTAAATATAGAAGGAAAAGTAAGAGAGAAAGAAAAAAGATCACTTACATGATTGTTGTCTTTACAACTGAAGAATAGTCTGCACCACTTGCTTTAAGTATCTCTCCCATATTCTTAAGTACCTATGGTTCCAATGTGTATTTGAGAGCCTTATTTGATAATATATGTATATATAGAGACACACAGATGCACACAGTTGGGACAATAGGATTCAACAAAAGTATATACATCTACAAGTATTCTGGATAGAGGTACATGTATTCCTTTGTAAGCCACCCTCATATAAGTAGAAAATTTTAAATAGAAGATGGTCTAACAGATCAGCATTTCTTGTTTATAACTTGCTATTAATTAAAATTCTTCTAAAAAGATCTAGGATCGCTCATATGCCACAACTATCTGTCACCCAACCTTTGGTGCTGCATATACTTTGCAAACTCGTAAAACTATCTACACGCTAACAACTTAGAGCTAATTTGCAGCCAGAAACCTCCAGTTACAATTTGACCAAGCCCATACATTAGATTACTGGACCTGAAATGAGCAACATACATGACATAAACAATGGCCAACTCGAAAATCAATTGATGCAGACACAATTAGTTACATGTATATTCAAACTTCTTATGCGTGGAAGTTTAAGGAATTAACATATGGACGAAACACGATAACTAAACAAAACAATCAAGAAGTCTCCTCTTGCTTAAGAATTTACTGAAGAAAAGCCTAAGCTCCTTTGCTAAGTTAAAGCACTACAGTCCACCACGAGATCTATCGACGTGTGGTACCTTTCTCGATAAGTTACTCATGAAATGGTGCTTCCATAAGGTGCTATAAATTTATGCATGTTTGCTACTTACCTCTCAAACGAATCTTGGTAAAATAAAATCAGAGGCCTATTGCAGAATTACTGGTGTAGCATACCTGTTCAGTTTGATCCTCTACATCCTCCGAGACAAATTTCCCAGTCTGCAATTTTGAACAGGGAAAAGAACTTACAACTTCCCTTAAATGAATTGTACACATGCACTTGTGCATTTACAATTGCAAAAACGAAACTTTATTTCCAATGGAAAAATCTTTCACCACATTAAAGATAATTTTACAGACCTCTGGAATCAGTCCAAGAACTCCAGAGACAAAGACCATATTATTCGCCTTAATTGCTTGAGAATACGGCCCCAATGCTGCTGGAGCCTTTTCTGTCTTCACAGCTTCCTTAATACCTACGCTTGGTAGCACATCACAAACACCATGAGCTTTAATGATTACAGCCAATGCTCAAAGTGAATCAACTAATGAAAGTTTCCTACACTCAGATGACACTAAGGTAGAAAAAACGGATACATTCCCTGAAAGGGTAAATGCACAAACTCAAACTGGCATTCTCTTCTTTCCGACAGAAAATTGATCGAAATAATCAATATAGTGACAAAAATTTCCAGTAAAACGCCTGCAGCTGCTCATTTCAGCAGCACAAGGAAATCCCGGGAAAAGGCACAATTACTCGTTCCTAAAGTACAACTTTCCAGTACAAGCAGGCCGCCGATTAGAAAAAGCTCAAGGGTTTAAAAACAGTACAATCTAATCTGCAAAGTAGTGGACTGTACGAGCTCACCTGCGGCGGCATCAGTTGAAATGCTTAAAGAAGCGAAGGCTGGCGATGGGCCACAACGGCGGAAGTTAGCACCGGCCAAGGATGCGCAGCCGGCTCCGAAGGCTAATGGAGCTCGAGAGCGCAGGACACCGACATCGATCGCTGGCATTTGGAAGCTCCTCGCGGCGGCGCACCAGGCCATTGTCAGTATTCCTCTGTCTTCTTCTTCTTTTTTTTTTTTTTTTGCNTCTTGTCTTCTCTCTTCCTTTGTTTTCGCAGTTTTGTTCAGTGTGTCAACCTAGTCTGTACGCTGTAGCATCTTGCTTGTGCACTTAGGCAGGTCCATTCAGTCTCGACTTTAGGCCCAATCTCATGTTGTTGTAAGACCCATTTACTCTACCCTTTTTACTCTAGAGAAAATTATACCCTAGAGGCAAAACAATTTTAATTGCACTTATACGACTCAAATATTTTATTAGCATATATACAACAAATCATGAATTTATTTGTCTCATGTGTTTTGCCTTTTTTTTAAGAAAGTGGATTGTAAGGATTTGCAGTTAATATGGACTCTAAAACAACAGTCAATCAATTTATTAATCTTTTGGCAATTGTCGATCCCTAATTTTCTTCATCTTTCTTCTACACACTAAATTCTCCTTCCGCGGCCCGACGGCGTCTGCCACGTCGCCACCTCGCCTCTTTCTCCTTCCCCGGCGTCTGTCGACTCGCCGCCGTCGGCCTCCTCCCCGTCTCCATCCGACGCCTTACCTCCATCGGGCATCGCACCTGCGCCCCAATCAAATGGCGGCTTCTTGAACGGACTGGGGATGAGAGAGCAATGAACATACTGTATATAACATGATTATGTTATGTATATGTGCACGAATGATATACTTACAGTATATGGGGCTGTATCTCTGTAGTGTTTTCAAGACTGTATATGTGATATTTATATTTAGTATATGTTGTGTATATAGGTAGTATAATTTCAGTATATGTTTTCGTAGACACAATCACGTATATGTATATGTATATATATATATATATATATGGTTATGTTGAGTATATAACCAGTGTTTTGCGCTTTTTTTTTCCTAACATATATACCAGATTAAGATTAAGTTACGAGAATGAGAGAGAGGGAAAGGGAGAAGAGATGAGAGAGAGAGAGAGAGAGAAGAGATGAGAGAGAGAGCATTTTTAGGGATGATATTTTGTTATTAATGTAAATCCATTCAATTATGGTATTTCATTATTATGGTGCAACCCTTCAGTTACGGGATTTAGTTAGGAAACTATATGTCAATGCATTGTTTCAGTATCCAGCAATTATCTAATTATTTTGCTTTAATCTGGTACATACACAAATAATTTTAAAATTATGTAAACTTGTAATTTTTTATGTTCAATCACGGTACATATGCAAATGACCCTTTACTCTACAGGCCCATTTAATTACTAGGTAGAGTGTACTCTACTCAATAACTTAATATCTAATTTTCGAGATACGGTGACCGTAAATAATTTATACAAAATATCATACACCCGACATTATTTACCAAAGTACAGAATCTGTCGACCTATCAAAATATGTTCTCACTCATGATAAATCAAATAAATAAGTACTGAATGCATATGCCTGTCTTTATTGTGTTACGGGTTAAGAGAATGCATCAATTATTGAGGTCTAGATTATTTGTTTGGTCAGTACAAAATAATTTTATCCTTCATAGGTGCGTCCTATACATTCGAGATGTACGAGTGTAATCCATTAGTCAAAGACCAATTAATTCAAAATCACACTTCACCTTTTTAGGATAGTTAGTTAAATTTCGTTTAGGCTATGAACAAATATTTATATTTTACAAGACATCGATATATGATCTTTTTGTTCGACACATGAACCTTTATTATTTTAATGTAAAATAAAAAAAACTACCTTTGCATAAATAAATAAAATACGAATATACACTTGACTAAAAATACATATCTCATTTAAATAGAATATTGGAAGTAATTACAAATGTTATAATAAATAACATTGTTCTGAAAACCGGACCGCACCGGCCGGTTCAACCGATTATAACCGCTGAAGCCCAAAACAAGTCAAAAACCGGCAAACGGAAACGGTTTAGACGGCCCAACGTCTGCCGCTTAGGACTTTGAAGACAGAAACCCAAGTTGTAGATTAAATAGCTCATTCTTTTCGTTTCTTCCAATTGGGACATTGTGGTTTTAAGACTTTTTTTGGCACGTGGGCCATGAAGACTTGTCACCCCTGCAAGTGGTATAGGCTTATAGCTGAATTGGGCCTTCTTTTATAAATTCAATATATTGGGCCTGTTTGAGGCCTACCTCACATATTAGATAGAATAGGTGAGTTTATTATGTTAATTGGTATGTTGCGTGCCTTTGTAATTATTTGGCCCGGTGACTTATGAGGAATTATTACGCCGCGTGACTTATGTCAACATTGTTGTGTTTATATTATTCTAAAAATGTGATTTTAGTTAAAGGGAAAGTGAAAAACTAAAAAGAATAAAAACATAAAATCTGATTTTATCATTATCATACAAACCTGTGATCTATTATCTCAATTTTTGTAATTTAAATATTGACTAAAATATAAAAATAAAATTAAAAAAAATTCATAAACTCTGTGGGTTGTATCTATTATAAACTCTTATTTAGAGAAATGTCATTATACACTATAAAGTTAATGATAAAAATATATATAATTATATACTATGTATATAAAATAAATAAAAAAATATATATATTATTAAATCGGTTCGACTACTGGTCTGACCAGTGAACCATTGAACCGGTAGTTTCACCGGTTCGATGGCCGGTTCGGTTTTCAGAACAATGATAAATAAATATCTCATACACTTTTTCTTTTTTATTCCTCCCCATAATGTCTATTCAGCACTCCATGCAGCAAAGGCTTATGTGGGCTCCTGCGACTTAAAGGCTTCTTATTTTATCATATTCTCCAACTCCTATATATGCTCATACCACCTTTCCCCATTTTACCACTCATTCTCAAGCAATTTCTTGTTTTTTGTTCAATATCATTTTTACATTTCTTTACGAAAATGTGGTTGTCTCGTGTATGCAGAGAACTCAGGATTTCTTCACAGTCCAGGCTTCTTATAATTAGCATGCTCAAGCAATTTGGCCTCGCTATATTGACTTGCATTTTTGCATTAGGTTTGTGCTTTATTATTGCATAACTCACTTCACTTTTTTCTCTTTTTGTTTTTTGTATAGAATTTCAAGTTCGTGAGGAAAGGTAATTCTAATAAAAGATTTAGTTTTACTATGAAGCTAACTGTTGGCTCCATAATGAAGTCAATCTTTTATATACAACAAGTAAATCATACTATATTAATAAAATTATTAGTATTATTTAAGTAATAATAAAATTATTAGTATTATTTACTTGTTCACGAATATGTAGAGGCTGATAAGGATTTAGGGGGGTGTATTCAATTCGGAATTTAAGTGACATTTTAAGACTTTTCGAGATTTGAGACTTTCTAGAATTTTCAGATTTTGGAAGAATTCTATGAAATCTCAAGTCCGGAGGTAGGATTTGAAGTGGGATTTCATATAAGGTTTTTTGTTTAGAAATCCCACAAAATCTTAAAAAGTCTTAGGGGGGTGTATTCAATTCGGAATTTAAGTGACATTTTAAGACTTTTCGAGATTTGAGACTTTCTAGAATTTTCAGATTTTGGAAGAATTCTATGAAATCTCAAGTCCGGAGGCAGGATTTGAAGTGGGATTTCATATAAGGTTTTTTGTTTAGAAATCCCACAAAATCTTAAAAAGTATTAATAAATCTTAGTGTCAAAAAAATTAAATACCTCAGGATTTTGTAAGACTTTTGAAAATCCCAATTGAATACCCCGAGATTTTTAAAAGTTTTAAAAAGTCTTAACAAATCTAAATTGAATACACCATGATTTCTAAAGTCTTAAAAAGTCCTTAAAAATCCTAATTAAATACACTCCCTAAATCTAGCTATTGCACTTAAATGGCACCTGCTAAAATTAAGAGTCACATATTGCATCCTTCTCATTTTATTTTTCTTTATTTTATTTATGGGTTCCTTCTAGCAATCTAGCTATTGCCAGAACTATTAGTTTTAACTTTTAACTTTCAACTTAGACTGATCCTTATCCCCAACCTAATCCAACCAAACCTAATAATTAAAAATTATTTCTCTTTTCTTCATCTACACAATTTAACCTTACAACTCAATTTATCTTTATCCCCAATCTAACTCAACCTAAAAATTTATTTTATTTTAATTTATTTAAAAATTGCAATTGTATANATTCATTATCTTTAGTGGGAGCTACTATAGGTTCATTCACAGGAGCAATAAAGGGTCAGACCACAGAAATTGGGATTTTCCGTGGTTTTGTTGTGGGGGCAGTGGCAGGCGCAATCACGGCCGTTGAATTGTTGGACCTCCTATCCAATGGAGAGCCATTTTCCAAGGTCATAATTATTATCAATATATATGCATGCACATATATATCACATTAAATGCATGTAATTAATATTCTATATTAGCATATCTTAATTTTATTTATTTATTTATTTATTTTTTTCTTCAGATTGCATTAATATGTAGTTTGATAAACGGGAAGATATTTATGGAATGGGTGAGCCCTGCAGTACTCAAAGCTTACCAGTGGCAGGTAATTTTATTAACCAGTGGTTAAATTAAATCCTACTGTACATTAACTTCGCAATTATGGCTTCAACTAATTGGATTTTGTATTTTTAGTACTCCCTCCATTTTGAAATATAAGGCATTTAAGGTTATTGCACAAATATTAAGGAGACATTAATTAATGAATAAATGGACTAAATTAACATTATTTATTCTAATCACAACCACTCCACACTTCCTTAATTTCAACACAATGAGGGTATAAGAAAATGCAAAAATTTGTCTTGATTTTTAAGCGCGCCTTATATTTCAAAAAAATTGAGAAATCTTTATACACCTTATATTTCAGAATGGAGGGAGTACTACAATTGCTATAGCTTTCAAATTAGTAATTATCTATATATATATAATTGTTCGGCAAACTTCAATAAATTTTATTCAACCAATAATTAATAAGAATAGGATTTTATTTAATAAAAATCTTTATTACAAGCATTCAAATGATAGTTACACAAGTAAAACCTTACTATTACTAATTTTTTATTCTGAAATAGCTTTACAAGTTTTTAAATTTTCTGGATATACAATATTAAATTATTTTACAGCTAATATTCATATTTTATATTATAGTTATACAATAATAATAACCAAAAAACTGATTTATATGGAAGTTAAATAATTTATATTTATATTATACATTTACATATAATCAAAATTTTAAAATATAGTACACATTTTATTTAATTTAAATTTTTAAATACCATATACATACATATAATATATAAATTTTTCACATGACAAAATTTACTTGTTTTTTTTGTACAACTAAATCTCCAAGTGGAGTCTAATTCTCACAGTTGCAATGGATGTCTGTTCGTTACTTTACTCGTAGGTCAACACTATGGAACCAAGTCCGAGCGAATATTCTGGAGACATTTTTGAGGTCATGAACACAACTACTCCTGGATTATCTCAAGATACTATTGAAAAATACTTGCCCATTTATGAATTCAAAAATACCGAGAGATCGCCTCTTGAAACTAGTTGTGCGATTTGCTTGCAGGTACCTTTCTCAATCCAGTGACGAATTGTGAATATAAGTATACAGAGAAAATTGCAATTTTAGTCCAATAACTTATGCTGTTTTCCACTTTAGTCCAGTAACTTGGGCCGATCCAAAATTGGTCCAAAAACTTCCAAAATGTAGTTAAATTAGTCTAATTCCGGTCCCCGTCGCCGGAATCCGAATTGCCAACTCAGCACATTTCGATCGCATTCCGGCGACGGGGACCGAAATTGGACTAATTTAACTACATTTTAGAAGTTTTTGGACCAATTTTGGATCGGTCCAAGTTACTGGACTAAAGTGGAAAACAGCCTAAATTACTGGACTAAAATTGCAATTTTAGTCCAGTAATTTATATGATCGTGCTAGAATATAAATTTGATATTTTTTCATTCATTTGATGACAGGATTTAAAGGATGGAGAATTTATAAGATTACTGCCCAATTGTGGGCATTTATTCCACTCTCACTGCATCGACGCATGGCTCACCAGACAAGGAAACTGCCCAATGTGCAGAAAAAATGTCTGACCACTTAAGGAGATTGGTGAATGAACGGAACAAATCCAGAAAGAAATTGTAATAAAATGGACAGTATGGGAAAGAAATATGGTGAAAGCAATATTTGCAAGTGGGCCCCATAAGCCCCTGGTTTTGGGTTTTTGTGTATTGTTACAAACTGTGGGTGCATGCGCCGACATAATTGTAGCTACTATATTTGTGATATTACGTTAAAAAGTGAAAATGTGATAGATTGCGACTTGGGTGTCTGTAGAGAAAGCATTCTCTATATTCTTTCTTTTCTCTCTAGTTTTATAACACATTGTCAGCACGAGTCTGTGTCCTCTAGAGCTCGATTTATAATATGATGAGAGTATGTTCTACAGTTGCGTCTTATAGACGATCCTCTGTATCAGAAATCGAAATATTACAAATTTTCTCTCCCTATATCAAAGAAAAAGCAAGTAAAACAGTAAATAGAGATAAAACAAAATGGAGTGTAACCGGAGAAAAAGGACAAAATGAACCCCAAATTATATGTCCTCGAGCTCATCTGTGAACTGATGGTAGGACTCAAAGCCTTCAAAGAGCTGCCGTTGACGTGCATCGTCGAAAACTGTATGATGAAATTCACGATAAAGGCTGCAGAGAGGTTTGTGTAATATGCAATTTTAAATAATAAATGAATGGGGTACCTATCAAATAATTGATATTGCATGCTTCCTGTCAATGTAATCCACTTGCTCAAATGGATTAATATATAAATTGATTATTTGATTAGAGTGATATACTGATATCCAAGTGGGCAGAATAAAAATTTGCTTTAAAATTAACGTGTAAGTGCATGATCATTTATAAAATAATAAATTTGATTTATCATTAAAATTAAATTTTGCCAAAGAAAATAAGTTGTGTTTATTTGAAATAAACATATTTCATACTACTCAATTTAATGCTATCTTCATTTCAAGACCAATATTGATATATTAAATTATATTTGTATTATGAAATGTATGAATTTTTCTATTGAGAAAAATACTTGGTAAATGGAAATGTGGATATTTATGAATTGACCCATGTGATATGAAACGAAATATGTAGTGCCAGAAGCACATGTAGAAAAGCATAATTTATCACATGAGAAATATGATAGAAAATTATATTTCTTATATAAAACTATATATTTACTTGATTTAATTGTCCTTATTTATGAACATATCTTGTTTGATATGTATCCCCTTATTGTTAATATTTGAAAGTGATATGTCCAGTAGACATTATCATCTAATAAGGATTATTTTCAATGATAGAGAAAAAATATTATATAACTTATGAAATATCTCATAATTCAATTATTACTCCTAAAGAGATATGTAGTGTCTGGATCAAATAGTGTTCACTTAAGAATTGATTTATTATACTTTGATGCTCAATTTATATATTGGATAATTAGCATGAGCAGTTGGATCATATTGAGCAATTATTTATCATAATTTCCCCAAAATGATGCGTGAAAAATTGAACATTTCCCATCTGCGATTTATTATAATGCACAATCTTATATCACCACCAATTCGTACCTGTAACGCCCCACTTTATTTTAAAGATTTATCGAATTTAATTTTAAAAAAAAAATCAGAGTTAATTTTTCCCAAATCTCAATTTAATAAAAACTTAGTGGGTGCTACTTATTTTACCAAAAACTTTTATCCGAAAATGCCAACACATCAGATAAAGACAGAATGCACGAATAATAAATCATAAACGAAACTAGCATTCATTAAGATCTAAATCATAAAGATAATTCATAATTTCAATTTCAAAACGATATAATCAAAATATCTCAACATGAGTTCCTTAAATGAGCGGAAGCAAATAAATGAGCAATAAATAAAAACATGACTACCACCCGTCTTGTCTTGTCACCAGCCAACTGCTTAACCTGCATCCGTGAAGAGTAGGTGGGAGTGAGTACAGTTAACTATCGTACTCGCACTATGCATATGAATAACATATAAATGCTATGGTTGCAGCATGAACATAAACAATAAAATCATGTCACATCTCTAGTCACATCAATGACTCTAGTCTCATCAAAGACTCACTCATGTACATCTATGCTCATCAAAGCTAAGTCATGCCATATCAGTGAAACATGGGAGTGCGTGTCACATCAATGACACGGCCTTCTCATAGGTCTTTATGAGATTTACCTCACAGGGTAACCGTATCTTATCATACGGGGACAACCGTACCGATGGCCATCAAGCTCACATCGATAGGCTACATGTTCATTTTCATACATAGATCACACCAAACTTTCATCACAATTAAAATCACGCATATGCATAGATAATTTTGAATAACAACCCACTCACACTATGCATATGAATAACATATAAATGGTATGGTCGCAGCATGAACATAAACAATAAAATCATGTCACATCTCTAGTCACATCAAAGACTCACTCATGTACATCTATGCTCATCAAAGCTAAACCATGCCATATCAGTGAAACATGGGAGTGCGTGCCACATCAATGACACGGCCTTCTCATAGGTTTTAATGAGATTTACCTCACGGGTAACCGTATCTTATCATACGGGGACAACCGTACCGATGGCCATCAAGCTCACATCGATAGGCTACATGTTTATTTTCATACATAGACACACCAAACATCCATTACGATTAAAATCACACATATCCATAGATAATTTTAGAATAACCCACCTGGTACCAAAATAGCAATTAAATACTCAAGAGTCGATAGGATGATAGCACGGCTCGTCAAACACCTACAATGGTTACGAGGTTCCTATCAAAGACTATCCAACACATAGATACACTCATATCAGCATTTATATCAAAAACACTTAGGTCTATACAGCCCATATAAGTCATATTAGCAAGCATTAAAAAGATAGATTTTATTTTCGAAAACACCACATAAATTTTCAAAATATAACCCGTGCAGCGATTTTGAAATTGACACCAAATACAGCACAAAATTCATATTGGCACGAAACCAGTTGCATATGAATCCTAAGACATGCTTCTACAATTCTTATGAAGACATCAGAAGCAAATAGTATCATTTAGCAGGCCTTAGAACATCAAACATATGGAACAGGGATGCTGTGAAAAAAAATCTGGAAATATATAGCGGACATGACCTCAGTATTTTTCATTTAAATGGAGCTACAGACATGATATAAAGAAAATTCTAGAACTATAATGCAGCTAACTCAAATATCTAAAACTTTGCTGAAGACCATTTTGACAAATAATGATGTTATCAATGAGTTTAAACCTAAAACCTTCGGTTCATAAAATCTGCCGGACACCAACTTATTTTTATAAACAGCACCTCAGTATATAGACTCTAACTTATGCTATAGAACTTCAAATAGAATGAATCCAAAACCTATGGACAGCCAAGAAGTAAGGCTACAATTTCCGTGAAGACTACTTTCACATTTAAGTATGTTAGGACATCAATTGAAGACCAAACATCAATATCATATACTCAGCCCGATTTTTCAAAAACTGCTTGCATAACATTTTTTCAAAAATCACATCTCATGATACACTTATCATATTGACATGCTTCTTACCTTGTTAGAAACCTAAGAGACAGTTCTACAACTTTCATGTAGAATGCTAAGGTAGATGAGGTCATTACAGAGGAGTAAAATCAATTAACATTTAGAACCACCTTGCTGTCTAAAAGTATAAATCACTACATGCTTATCCTACTTCTATCTAACACAAACCGAGCTACAGTAATCATATCAATATGAATTGTACCTCATCATAAATCTTAGAAAGAGAACTATAACGTTCATGAAGATCATATTTTTATTTGAGCACATTAAGATGCAACAAATAGGTAAAACATTCAACATAAACTTGCTGCCGGGTTTTGTTAAAAACTGCTCGCTCTATATTTTTGTAAAAATCATATCTCTCTCATTTTAAATCGGATTTTCGAAATTTCAAAACTCACAAAACCAAAACATAATGATCTACATATCATATGCAAAGCACAACTTCATAAAACGAGTATTTCATGCCCTTTGCAGCAACACAACAGAGGCCATAAAAATCGTAGTATAAGTCATTTACTACATGATCTCCCTTCAACATGGATATATCCTCATATAAACTGCAACTTGGCCACACATTAACATATATAATAACATCTTAAATAAGCTATTAACATGAACCAAGGGTATCCTCTTACCTTCTTCAAATGAAACACAAAGGAAGAGGGTGACTCGGGTGAATGGTGTGACTTTCCTATGCTAGAGGACTTTTAGTAAGTCTTAGGAGGGTGGAATTCTTGTGTTCTCTGGTACTTAGCTGCGGGGGACGAAATTAAGGGAGAGAGAGGATGAAGAAGACTATAAAACATGGATGGAGACAACATGAAGAAAAAAAATGAGGTTTGATGGCATCTTGTAAGAGCTTGTCTTGGAATCTCATGACATGGGACAAGAGTTGACTTGCATGTGATAAAAGAGGACAAAATAATGTAGGGAGGGGTTTGAAAAAACCGTCTATTAGCCATGGAAGAGGACAAAATGGTTGAAACAATTCAACTTTGGTGACATGTGACTAAGTAAAATAATGCCACTCTTATGGATGGTTGTGGAGCTTCTTTAATTCGGTTTTGATGCTCAAAATGGCTGAAAATACTTGATAACATTAGTCTTGATGCCTTCTAAGAAGATTGGAGGAAAAATAAATTTTACGGAATCGAAATCGGACTTAATATCCGACTATAACCGAAAATCGAAGAATTTGACTAAAATTTGATTCTTTTTAACTCTTGGTTGGTTTTGACGGCTGAAAAATACTATTAAAGAGTTGAAATTATAATTGTATCAAAGGGGCTGGTTGAATCGGTTCGAAGTTCGGGCGCAACGGTTCGAAAATGAATTAAAACGGACAACAATTCGGCTTACGCGATTAAACCGAAAATTCAAACGACAATCGATAAAATAAAATCGAACGAGCTATATTTTATCCATATAATAATATAATATATAAGCACATAATCAAGGTATATAAATAATAAAATAAAATGCCATTAATTAAAATAAACTCGAAAAAATCTAATATTCGAACGGGGCGCCACAGTACCTTTATGGGTCAATATTATAAACTAGGTATGCTATGATACTCCGTCATATTTTTAATACCTAGAGGCCATTATAGGGGGTCAATTTATTATTTGGTACGTATTGTGCGACAATATTTAACGGCATTAGGGGGAGATATGAGCATAAATTTATTAATGCCGTAAAATATTTGAAATTTTAATTATTTGAAACCACGTAATAAAAATTGAACTG